GTCTCATTAGATTGCCAGGAAATTAATTCTCACTCAGTATTAACATTCATCTCTCCCAAGACTTAACCAGAATCCAAGAGGCTCTATGGTGTTCAGAAAATGGGAGAAACTTCTTGATCCTCTGGTCTGTGACAGCTTCTGATGACATCCTTATTGTAGAAACTACAGTGGATGCCTGAAGTCAGTATTACAGAATCAGTTCTACTGGGCACACCATGTTGCCATTTATGTGAGGTCTCCCCTCCCTCTGGGTGCACTGCCACAGATCAGGGGTGGATGCCTGAAATTACAGGACCCTATTGACTTTTGTCCCTGTCTCTGTCTCTGGAAAGTGTTTCTCCCCCTCTTGCTTCAGGGGCACTTCTCTGGCCCCTTTCACCCACCAAGAAACCCCAATCTTTTATAAAAGAACTTTTACTTTACAAAAGTTCCAAAAGTCTTCTAAAGTGCTGTAAAAAAGAATTTCCTGAGATGATGAAATTGCCCTCTATGGATTTGAAATGTGTCTAGTGCAATTGATGATTTAATTCTTATTTTAACTAATCATAATGTAAACTTAAACAGCCTCATGTGGCTAGTGGCTACTTTATTGGACAGTACAGTTCTAGAGACCTTTGCTTTCACCCTGCTACAAAATACTAATGGCCTAGTCATCCACGTAAATCAAAGAATGGAAACTACAGAGAGCGATACAAAATAGCATCTCAAAAGAAGTTCTCTGGTGATGAGTATAGGAGTGTTCATTACATCGTTCAACTTTTTACCCATTTGAAAATTCTCAAAATAAAAACATGGTAAAAAATATACTGCCACCAATTAAAGCTCAGGTATAAATGGTTTTATGAGCAGGGATCCTGAGGTGTGAGCTCCAACTGTTTTAATTCAGCTAATTCAGGTAAGAGGTAGGGCCGATGAGGAGGACCCTGTGAATGAGAAACAAGGAGTTGGGTGTGAAGAGAAAACCTGGATACTTTGGGGTGAGAAAAAAAGTCTCAGCTGTCAGAGGGAAATGGAAGCTGTGGTTCTGAACAGGAAAGGCATTCTTCCTGAGGGAGATAGAGTCAGCTGCCTTCTGGATGGAGGGAAAGCCATGTGCCTCAGGCTTAAGATGACACTCTTATGAGCTTCTGGTCTAATTTCTTGTAGATAAAAAAGTCAAGCTGGAGGAATAAGAGGTATTTAAGACAAACACATTTGAATGACAAGCTGGGGGAAGCAATTCAGTGGAGCAGAGTTACCACACGGTGGCTACTAATACAGATGCTGAAACGGATGCACAGGGAATAGAGAGACTGGTGGGAAAGGCAAGGAAAGGAAGGTCTGTGAGGAAAATTACATTGGACATACTTGAAGACAATCACATTACAGCAGAGCATCCTTTATGACCTCACGTGTACTGGGCATGAAGCCAGAGTTCCTCATTTATTTTTGCAGACTCAACATTTTACATTAGCATGTATTGCCTCTAAGGAATGTTGGTGACTACTTGGAAACAAAGACTGCCATAAACAAAGTTATCACGAATCAGACACCTAGAAAGCTAAGGCCTGGTTTTTCTCAACCTTAGGGTAAAAATTAGGACAGACCTCTGGTTATCTCACATCCAGAAATAATAGAGCGTCTGGGAAGATGGCAGTGTGGATCGGATGTTAGGTAAGATTTTTTAAAATATGAACATGGAGGGGCGCCTGGGTGGCGCAGTCGGTTAAGCGTCCGACTTCAGCCAGGTCACGATCTCGCGGTCTGTGAGTTCGAGCCCCGCATCGGGCTCTGGGCTGATGGCTCAGAGCCTGGAGCCTGTTTCCGATTCTGTGTCTCCCTCTCTCTCTGCCCCTCCCCCGTTCATGCTCTGTCTCTCTCTGTCCCAAAAATAAATAAACGTTGAAAAAAAATTTAAAAAAAAATAAAAAATAAAAAATAAAATATGAACATGGATCCAAGTGAGTAAATTCTAGGCTGAAGGGAGAGTTATCATTATTCTTTGTTCTTATTTTATCAACCAGATACAGATTCTTGAAAGGAGTAGAAAGACAAATAGCATCTCGTGAAGATGTTCTGTATATGGTGGTTGTAAACATTTAAATAATTCATTAGTTCTATTTCAAAATACCAGACTCTTCTGAAAAATATTTTTCTGTATCTTCTGTCTCCTACTTTTGCATAGATGAAATGTCGAAATACAATCAAGAAAACCAAGAAAAAAATAACTTCCTGGTAAGTCTCCATCATGAAATTTGAGTAGAAACAGCCCCTATATCTGATAGTGAGCAAAAGGCAAATTTTCTATTATCTGGCAGTTTTCAGCGGTCAGATATCTGAGCTGCATAGGTATTTTTAAAGAAAAACAAAGAATCAGTGGCCAAAAAGAAGGAATTGAGTAGGAGTTGTGTCTGGAATGTAACAAGTGATGTTAATTTCCCTTCATTCTTAATACATTAATTCTTAAAACTGGGAAGAGACCACTCAATTTAGTGGCTTGTTTAACTGCATTTCCTGTAAGAGCTATCAAAGCTGTCACTATCTATAATTTATTCATTTCCTTTTGTGAATATCTATTCAATATCTACCTTTACTAGACCTTAAAGTACAGGAAGACAGGAACAAGAATTTTGCTGTTGTAGGCATTCATTAAGCGTTTGGTGCATGAATGAATGAATGACTAAATAATACATTTTTAGAAATTAGATCACTTCTTCAACTTTCTCCATTGTGTTATTAAGCAAAAGAATTGTAAAAGGCATGTGTCTGACCATTATTGTCTTCTCCCTAACTTAAATGAATCAAATTGTAGAATTTTTTTTTTTAATTTTTTTTTTCAACGTTTATTTATTTTTTTGGGACAGAGAGAGATAGAGCATGAACGGGGGAGGGGCAGAGAGAGAGGGAGACACAGAATCGGAAACAGGCTCCAGGCTCTGAGCCATCAGCCCAGAGCCTGACGCGGGGCTCGAACTCACGGACCGTGAGATCGTGACCTGGCTGAAGTCGGACGCTTAACCGACTGCGCCACCCAGGCGCCCCAAATTGTAGAATTTTAAATGTAGAATTTTAAATGAGTTATGGCAATCGTATCTTTTATGTCCTCATTATAGACTTTGATGTGGACCATGGCTTGTGGTATTTTCTGCTGCACACCAAGTGCAGATTATGCCACGTGCTTTGAAAATCAGACCAGCCGTTACAAGTTGTCCATTATCACAACTGTTTAGCCTGACTATGAATGTTGGAACCAAAAGAAAATAATCCTCATGAAACCAATCTTTAAAAGGAAACTAATGAAAAATATTACCTAGCCTTGAAGTCTTGGCAAGTAACCACTTTTTTTCCTTCTAGATTGTCATTACCTAACTCTAGGCATGGAAAAAAAGCAAACGGTCATTGCCTACTCAACACATTTAAAATCTGATTAGGACAATTTCCAAGCAAATCAACTAAAGTAAAATAATTAACAATGGGATAGAAATTTGGAATCCATGTAAAAATATTTTGCAAAGAACATTTAAACCTCAGATCTTTACCACTATTTTTGAAGTATTTTCAAGCAGAAATAGGAAATCTCTTAATCCATTACATTTCAATTTAATTCTATGACCTGAAGAAATCTATGAGCAACTGACAGAGTTGGCTGATGGGTACAAACATTAAAAAATGCATAGGCTGGGAATGCAAGCTGATGCAGCCACTCTGGAAAACAGTATGGAGGTTCCTCAAAAAGGTAAAAATAGAACTACCCTACCACCCAGCAACTGCACTACTAGGTATTTATCCAAGGGATACAGGTGTGCTGTTTTGAAGGGACACATGCACCCCAATGTTTATAGCAGCACTCTCAACAATAGCCAAAGTAAGAAAAGAGCCCAAATATCCATCAATGGATGAATGGATAAAGAAGGTGTGGTATATACATATATATATATGTAT